AATATTTGTTTTTCGCCGAAAAATTTCAGCAACTTTTCGTTTTTAGTCATTTTGTTTGACGCCCTATAGAAAAGTTGTCTAATACTTTTTTGTAGGTACCCATGAGCTCTACTTCAGAAAAAAGTTTCATTGATATATATTCACTATTGTCGGGGTTATGACTGTTTCAAAATTGAACCATTTTTATGGGTTTTTTTTACTTTACGGGGTCAAGGAACAACTTTTTGAAATTTTTTAGAATATCTAAATATTCTTCACCAGAATACGCGTTGTTTGCATTTTGAAACATTAGAATCCTCCAATCGGTTCCGAAGTTATGATTTTTTAAACATAAGCATGAAATTTCAGGGAAAAATGTCGTGTATGGTCAGACATTACATTTTCGGTAAACAATTTTTTTCGCAAAAGTGGTTAGGATTTTTGGGGTATGTCTATTCACAAAAAATGATTGTAATTGATCCCCGCAACTGAAAATAATTTTTTTTAAATGATATGAAACTTTTTAATTTTATCGAAAACATGATCCACCTGCTCGAATTTTTTTCTCGAAAGTTCGTAGGATTTCGGGGGTATGTCTATTCACAAAAAATGATAGCAATTGGCCTCTGCAACCAAAAATAATTTTTTTAGAACGATTTGAAATTTTTCAATTTCACCGAAAAATTTGTCCACCTTCCTGAATTTTTTTCTCGAAAGGACGTAGGATTTTGGGGATATGTGTATCCACCAAATATGTTTGAAATTGTCCCCCGAAACCAAAAATAGTTTTTTCAAAATGATTTGAAATTTTTCAATTTCGCCAACAAATTTTCTGGTTGCTATTGAACTTTATACGTTAATAACATTTTAACGAAGCCTCGATCAACAAATTGGTATTCTTGATTTTCGTCTTATTTTCGCCTCTAGAAACACCCTGTGTATCATACTTCTCATCTTTCTCACTTTACTCACATCAATATACTAAACAGTAAATTCACACGAATGTGGTAAATTTGATTCGCAAAAGAGATACTTTAGACCGAAAAGCCAGTTAACTCGAGACGTTCTGTTCTATTCGGCGGACGTCGACCTCCCCTCCGAGTCGGATTTCGTCGCTTTGTTCTCTCACTCTCGAATTAAACCACTCCTTAGTAGGTAGTCGATCCGGCCGTTGCAAGCGGACCGTGAAACTCGCTCGACGCGACGCCTAGTCCGAGTAATATCCGCGCGAATCGTCCCCGAATCTATGTAACCGGATGTAAAGATAGAGGAAATAAATTCAAGGAAGAAACGAAGAACACCGGAGAGATTCTTGCACGAAAGCTCGAGAGCCGCAATTCGCGCGCGAACGCCACTCGATCCTTTTGTTCGTTTACCGTTTCCTTCGTCGAACTATGTGTGAACGCAGAGAAGAACACGCACAACACACGATTTACGGATGCACGGGCCCGAGGTCACGTGTGTGTGTGTGTGGATTTGGTGGAACGCGATTCCTGTGTGGGCGCCCTCTCTTTCACTTCATGTTTCTCTTCGCCTCGGTACAGTAATGTCTCGCTATATGACGAAAAGATCGCCCCTACGCAAGCGAAATTCTTACTCCATTACCGAGAGGAGGTCACCGATAAATAAAAAGTTTAAAAATCGCCTCTATTTTTTACAGTTTCGTAAAACTTTTACATATAGGGAGACTAACTGTACTTCGTCCCTCCTCCTTAATTCTGTATTCTCTACTGTCCTAAACGGCTCTGCGAAGCTGCACGAGACACTTTTCTCTGTATCTCTGAACTGTGCTCCTCCTCGCGTTGTTACGATGCCCGTTTCTGCCCCCCACTGTTCTCTGTAAACCCACAAGACTTCGTATACATATTTGTACATCCGTGACTGTTTTGTCGAAACCCCGCCGCTTCCCCAAATACCTCCCGTCCCGAAAGACATTTGTTTTGGCTACGAAAAAGACACAAAAAGAGAAATATGACCCGCTGATGAAAGAGAAAAGAAAAGGAAATGTAAGTTGTCCATGTTGAACAAACTTAGCATATTGGCCCTCCATGCTACTCTCTCCCAACTGGCACGACTCTAGTTGTATATTAGCGTTAATGTATTTTTTCTTTTTTGCGGCTCGTTCCTTAAGTATTACAGTATTTTTTCGGTAAGTGCTCGCCGCTCGGGCCCGGTCGCAAGCAAATTGGCTACGAGACACGAATCTCGTTAGAGGAGGACAACGAGCGAGAGACGAAGAGGGAACGAGAAGAAAATTCACGGAAATCACGAAAAAGATAAAAACGAAAAAGTTTTAATTTTTATTTTAACAGCGACTCAAGGTAGATAGCACTTCGATGGGAGGGCGGGGGGCGTGTGACGAAGGTCGAGCATTTAGTGAAAAGATACTGTACCCAACTTTTTCTGTTTTGATCGTATACGTGTGTGGCTATCTTCGTCGTCTAGCAATATGATCGGCTCATAGTTTATTTCCACCGTTTCCCACCGAGCCTCGTCTGTTTCGTTTCTCTCTCTCTGCTACCCTGTATATTCTTTCGTTTCACGAGTTTAGTAATGAATGACAGAGGCATGCAAATGTACTTAACCGTAGCTGTCGATAGAAGATTTCACTCGGGAATAAAACGCTTCAGTACCGAACATTTCCAGCGACACACGAATGAATAACGAAGACTGGAACCGTAGTAGCTGTCAAATTAGTTGCTCATAGACATCACTGATCTGCAAATCTCGACCCCTAGACTTTCAAATTACGCTCTCGTCTATTTCCAAGCTAATTCTGAATTTACAGGCTGTCCCACACCGTAATAATAAAGCTACAGCTCTGAAACAATTAGAACGTAATTTTATTCGTTTCTAAACTCCGCAATTTTAATTAGGCTGTTCGAAGCAGCTTTTCTGTACAAACTCTGAACAAGCATTACACCTTAAATCTGATGGTTCAAGAGCTATATATATTTCTTTCTATTTACATTTACATTTTATTTAATTATAAATTAATCAATATTTGATTGAAAAAAAGGATCGCATTTTTGGATTTACCAACGCGTAAAAAGGAATGAAAATTGCATTCCAACCGTTTCAGAGGTATAGCTTTTCCTCCCAGTTGCGTGGAACACCCTGTACAAGAAATTACAGAGATTATATCGTATGAAAATTGAATGAATCGTCTGGAATTTCGTGTTTCAATGTTCGATGAATTTCTGTAGAATTGAATATGAAACGAAGGGTTAATTTCTTCTGTCTTTCTTTTCCGTCCCCTATCTTCTTTCCTATTCGCTGTATATATTCTACTCTCGTTCTCTCTCACTGTCTCTCTCTCTCTCTTTCTCTCTCTTTCTCTCTCTCTTTCTCTAGCTCTGTATCCACTTGTCTATCTATCTGTCTGTTTGTACGTCTGTCTACCTGCGTACCGATTTCGCCTAATTTTCAAGCGCAGACACACGAACAGCAAACTCGTTCCGAACCATAATCGCGCGCCAAACGTACGAGCCCATTTTACAAGAGAATATCAGATCTGATCTTCATCAATTTCAATAATATTTTTCAGGCTTATAGATTCACATGCACAGCAACCATAACCGGAGTTGTAGCCGTTAGTTACGAACAAAATAGATTAGTTTCACCGACAAGAATAATACATCAGCTTCTAAAATTGAAATTTTATAGGCAAATTATAATAGTACAGATTTTATTAAACTGGAGGTCGTTGATGACTTCGTTTTGTGATAAGAGGTGGCAATTCACATAAGTTTAATGCGTTCTGGTAACAATAAAAACTTGAAATTTGTGGTACGCTAGACTCAGATGATTGAATCGATTTGGGACGAGGTGCCAAAAATATCTCGCGACATATGGGTTCAGAGTTATCCTAAACCTTTCAAAAGATCAATTTGTTCTGAAGAATTTAAATACGATTTAATATTTGAAGGATATTCAAATATTAAAATTAGTTTTAAACAGTGTCATTCTGTGATTTTAGTTTTTGTTATTTTCTTGTGATAAATTACTTTATGCTCACGATACTGCCTATTATAACTGTATAAATTGCACAATAATTCATGTAAATATTTTGAGTCTATTTCTAAACTTCATATTCTTCTAACGATCTTGTTTCATACCAAAATTTGAATTCTGAAATATTCCTAAAAATGGAAATAATCGTTGAAAAAAGACATTTTTATAGACTCAAAATAAATCGAGAAAAGACGATTAATCTTGGAGAATAATTTTGAAGTGAAAATTTCTGAAAAAAACAAAAATTGGGTAGAGCGTGTTAGAAGCTGTGGAAACCATAACAAAGTCGGATCGCGAGTTGTTCATCATTTTCACTTCCATAGTCTTATAGCTGTCGATCGGGAACGTTGCTCCCGCTAAAAATTACTCTTTACACAAATATGAAATATTCAATACCCCAACACACGCCTAAGTTTGATCGCTCTTATTCGTTTCGTCTCAGTTCCTTCACAAATCGCTTCTGCATGTGGGAATGAGTCTGCATTTTAACTTCCACGTAGGAGTCACGCGTGAAACGACCGATCTTTCGTGAAAACTTCCCATCGACTTTGAATTCATACGATTTATATTAAACGTTAATTTTCTGTAAATACTCGGTGATCTAAAATTACGCAAAGAGGGGGAAATTGATCTTCAAAAGGGTTATAGTTAAGTAAAAACAGGTTCCAAACATTTTCTATCAGGGCAAATTCAACAAAAATATTACACAAAATTAAAAGGAACATTTTGTTAAGTTTGCCCCCCCCCATGGAAGATGTTTGAAACACTGTTTTCTTTAATTATGCGTTCGTTGAAGCTCTTATTGCCCCCCCGGCGTTTCGTATGACCTAGAAAAGGGTTAATTTGGGGTGCAAACTAACGGTAGAGAAAATTCGATTTGCCCTAATTTCGAGCACACGAAGGTCGAGTCTTTTCATTCGTTGACTCGGAATAACCCTTTTCCCCCCTCCTCGGCGGCTCTCGTTCGATAGGGGGGCGAATATTAAATTCTATTTCCTCTATTTTAGGAGCAAATCGCGAAAGAGAAGCAAGTGTCCGGCCGAGTGCAGATTCAAGTCGTGTACGAGGCCGATCGGAAAGAGCTGATCGTTAGCGTTTTCATGGCTGACAATTTATGCTCCAGGGAAGACACGATCTACGGAACGCTACCGGAAGCGTACGCCAAGCTTATTCTCGTTCCAGTATGGTAAATTTCCAGTTTTTAAAAATTTAAAAAAAACCTTTAAAATATTTCTCATTTTTTCTCAATTTTTCAAAACTTCATTAACAAAATTTCTAAAAACAGGCAGTTAGCAATAAACTTAGTGTAATTAATTTAAAACTCACCTGGAACCATGTTATACTCGACAAAAAGTTTTTGACAAATTAATGACTGTTTCGATTTTATAAATATTTCTTATCTCAATTCAAACGATGTTCAAAACTCCATTAGAAAAATTTCTAAAAAAAAGCAGTTATCAGAAACCTTACTATAATTATTTTAAAGCTCACCTTGAACCATGTTATATGCAAAAAAAAATTTTTAATAAATTAATTTTGATAAATTTGTGACTCGATGATCTTCTGTTATTCATGCTCTTGATCGAGTGTTTCCGAGTGAAATCGCGCGCGTTTTTGGCCGTTGCAGCGGGGAGCACACTACATTGAAAACAGCGATCGCGGAGCCGAGTCAAAAGCCAATTTGGAACGCGACGTTGCTCTTTTCGGGTGTCGACGGAGAAAGCTTGTTGGATTCCACGATCGAAGTGACCCTCTGGGATTTTTGTCCCGACGCCGAAAGTGTTTTTCTCGGCGAGTGCACCGTCGATTTGGAGCAGGCACTCGACAATGACAGAGCCGTATGGTGAGTACCCTTACGCCAGAGTTGTGCAGAATCACAATCGAATTACTCCAGGAATGATCGTATCTCTTAAAAAAACAAATTCATCGAACTGCTCTGTCATTCGTAATTCAGATCTTTCAAATTGTATCAATTAATTGATAATATCATGACAAAAATAATGTTAGTTATTAGAATTCTAGCATTGAATGTTAATTCGAAATAAAATTTTAGTCCGGCATTTCAGCCCCGTTTCGGAGAAAATCTCGACTTTTGCTGGTCCCGTTGTAAAAGTAATTTGCGTCGAGTCGTAAGCAAGGTTTCTTGCAGGTATTTTCTGGAGGATCCGCATGGACTTCGCGCGAGAAAATCGCCCTATTGCTCGCCGCGTGGCTCCCTTTCGATGGAAGTGGCCCACAGGCTATTGCGGAAGGCGAACGAATTGCGCGAGAGAAGTTACAGCGACGACACGCAAAGCGACAGCGGTAGCCCCGAGTTGGGCTTCCTGCATCCGGATCACGCGTTGCATGCAGGCTCCAGGAGGGGATCCAGCCAATCCGAGCAGCTGGAAGTCGAACCGTACGAACTTAACAGAGATTACAGTAGATCTCTGCCTGGCAGCCGAAGGAGCAGTTTCCAAAGTCAAGGTGGCACGGATTGCAAACGTGAGTGTGCGTACGAAGTAATATTAGAAACTAAGTTACTTAGACGGAGGACATCAGCCAATCAAGGTACATAAATTTTCTGGTAAATTGTACAAATTATATTCCGAGGATTAAACTTCCATTGGGGTTTATTAAAATTTGAAAGATTCTTCGATGGAGACGAATCAGGGTACATTTCCAAAGCAGACGTTGGAGAAAGGTGGTTAAATTATGCAATTATTCTGTAAGGAATTATTCTCTAAGGACGAAGCTTACAAGAAGCGATTATGAATAATCAAAATGAAATTAATGAAAAATTCTATTATAATTCTATTCTAAACCTGTCCTAATAGAATAGAAAAGTATTAACTACCTTATGACAATCACTTAAAATTTTAAATGTTTGATAATTCTTTACAAAACTTTTATATAAATTTATTACCGTGGAAATTTTACGAATATTTTTGCAAACGTATATTTAAGGAGGGCTTCTCGTGTAACAGCAGTTTTTATTAATTTTTTTTTTTATTCATAAAGTACAAAAAAAAGTTTTTTGTTTCTACTTCTTTTTATTGCGAGAGTGAATTTAATGCAATTTTTATAATCCTTTCAAATGATGTAACCATTATTGACGCATTTCACTAAACGGGCTCTAACTTTGTTATTTTGTCGACTTCGACTTAACAATTTTAGGAATCGTTATACTTTTAATTTATGGAAACAAATAAAATTGATTTCTTTGACCTGTTACACGAGAATCCCCCCTTAAAGCATTAAACTACAAGAGAATAGAAAAAAGAAAAATCGATTTTTTTGACCGACTAATTTGTAGGATTTAACGAAGAGGATTTATTTGAGGAACAAGTGTACAAATCATATAATTCTAATAAACGAATTTGGAACACACAAATTAATAATTAGCAACACAAATTAAAATCACGTCCGTCTTTCACAATCACTCGTTTCTCACTCCCTGTTGTCTCGCTGTCCCTGGTAACCCGTTCTTTCTTCAACAAAACACTTTCAACCCTTTTGCACATAAATTAACATTGAACAAAACTACAGCGTGGTACAAATATTCGATACAAATCTCCTACAATATCGATATTTTTCCAGGCGGAAGTGTGGGAGAAACGGAAATGGGCAAGCACCATAACCGCGACCGTCGACGGAGCTCGTACAGCAGGCAAATGAGGGACACCGATGAGTTTTTGGACAATCTGCGATCGTTTACAACGACTCTGCCGAAGAGGGAGCTCAGCAGGACGGCGAGTCTCACCGGAGACAAAAGACGCGACAGCCGTGAGTACAGTTTCCGTCGCTTTTCCAGCCAATCATTTTCGCCTAACCATTCGCTGGTCCGTCCGTCAGTTCATCTATCCGTGCATTTGTTTGCCTGTCTGTCTATCTGTCTTTCACGTGCTCGTTAATTCTTTTCCACTCTTATTTTCTCATCACCACCGTTATCAATCGTTGGATCCATCTTCGTCCACCAGCCAATCAGCAGATCGAATCCTCCTCGTCGGCTGATCCCGTGCGTATCGTACGCATGCGAATAAATGTCTTTGCACGGACGTACATGTAAACATAATCGAACCAAAGTACTAGAAATTGTCCACCCCTCCCCCGAATGATGAAAAATAATTTCAAATTGATACGAATGATTAAATTTGAGAAATTTCTTTTATCGAATATTTTTAATTCGTGAATTTAGCATAAACGGGAGATATTCAGCTATGTGTGGGTCCGTACCATTCTGTAAACATTTTTGTACATCTTCTCACACGCCACATCCATTCATGGGCCTTTATTATCTGATGTGTATGTTTCCATGCCTCTTTCTCTTCTCTTTCACTGTTTTCACTTTACACGGTTGTTTTTCCCCGTTCTCCCCTTCTCCGTGTAAATCACTTTTCATCGATCTCGAGCGATTTGACCGAGCGAACGCTTTCGAGTGCCTAGATAATGTTTTGCCCAAGTCAGCCCTAGAGTTTCGAGACGCTTTGAGATCGGTTAGAGCTAATCGGATCGAAAACGGAATCGCCCTGGATGGGAGCAGTTCTCGACGTTTCGGTGAAAAATTAGACACGGTTCCGGATAATTGGCGCAGTCGGTGATCAATCGTGGTGGACTGGTTCGACGATTTATCATTTAATGGTCATCTCACTGTTTATTTGCTTGGTATCTTCTAATTTATCCACGACTCGGTGCTCAATCCCGGTGATCGTCGCCTAAAGTCTGACGAAATTTATGATGAGATCTAAACCGGGTTTATCTTTGGTTTCTTCGAGGGCTCGACACGATTTTAGATCAGATGGAAATCAGAACACACTGTTCATTCTCTGATTTTGTGTATCGAGCAGAGTAATTGATTTATGTAAGTCGGTATAGACACGGTATATTTCTCAATTAAATTTTTTAAACTAAGAACATTGTATACTACTGTATACCAACACGTTAATATTTACTTGTCAATTTTTGAATAATCGCGTCAATTGCAAAGGATAAATGTGCCACATTATTATACAAATCACTTGAGTCATGCATTTCCCGTTTCGAGATAAATACTTGCGTTTGAATATATTTAAAAAACAATTGTTCATCGTGATGTAAAATTGATCAAAAACTATATGTTAATGTGTGTTTTTTAACGATTGAATCAAACTTTCAAAATTAATATCTAATGACTGGTGACCAACGCTTCAAAAGTATCTCTAGAACGTAGCTGATCACTAAACTGCGGATGTGTATGCATTTTAATTTTCAAAAAACTACAGAATTTACGTATTATTATTATAACCCTTTGCAAAGCTCCATTTTCATTAATTTTGTTAATAAAAATACGAATGTGCATGAAGATCCGCAGTCTACGATAACTTATGACAACAAAAAGTTGAGTTTCAATGAGTTTGATCGAGAAAAATTTCCCGTTTCGAAATAATTGAATACTTACGTTTAAATATATCAAAGAACAATTGTTCATCGTGATATGAAATTGAGAAAAGAAGTTAGAGAAACGTTTCGCAGTAACCAAAGGTAAATCCCGGCCGTGTTTCGTGACGGACCGAGTCAGCCGCCATATTGGAAACGATCGTTCGCTTGCTGTAAGTATCGTGAAGTGCGATCCGAGGTGAAACGAATAACCGAATCCGGGGACAGTGCGGAATCGCATATCATCATATGTTTGTCTGTCTATCTGTCTATTCATTGGAGAAGCTGGCATTCCCAACAAGTCACTCGTCGCAATAATATGTGCTCTTTGCTCATCTCTGTGCGATCGCTGTTGCGCCGCTGTTGCCTGTCGCTGAGTACTCGTTCCGCCTACGCCAGCCTGAGACACCATCATCCACGATCAAAAGAACAAAAAAACAAAAAAAAATACTACCCCCCGATCGGCAAATACAAAATGGAGCAGAAATAACCGGGGAGGAGCGAATTATAGGAGAAGGATCGCCAAGAGACGACTAGGAACTTGGATCCTTCTCTCCCATTCTCCCGCTCTATCGGTGTTCCGGGTGTTCCGTGTGTGTGTGTGTCGTCGCACGTCGCACGTCGCATTTGTGAGTTTAAACAAAAAAAAAAAAAAAAATTCGATAACCTTAAAACCCACCAGGCCCAAGTTCCTCGTTCACGTCGAATACACGCTCAAGTGCTCAAAGCTATGCGCTGATCGTTACTCCACTTATATTGAGTGTTCTCGTCTCTTCTCTCATGAATTCCGTCGACGAAGAGCCGTCGCGGGTGTTTCTGCAAATTGTCTCTTTTGTTCAATTTTCTTGATCTCCTTTCTCGGTCGGCACCGTCCGGCAATCTCTGACATGCGTACGCACACGGTCGATCAAAATGCTCGGTTCGCTCGGTCGAAACGCCATCCGGCCATCGTCACAACCCCATCCCCGATCGACGACGAATCGTGGCCTCGATCGACCGACCAACCACCATCATCGATCAACGACAACAGCGTGCGTAGTCCCAACGGTTATTGTGTGGCAGTCCGAGCCTGTATCTCCGAGGACCGGTAACTCGGCCTCCTTCCCACTGCCGCACTACATACCACCTCGATAAATTACCACAGGACTCTGTGGACCACCGTCACGGGCTTCCGGTAAGACATTTTTCTCGCTTTCTCTCTCTCTCTCTCTCTATCTGCCTATCTGCCGACGTGTTTGCCTTGCCTACTCGTTTATCTGTTTGCCTACGACGAACGATACCAAAACTATCCACGCAAACGACATCCCTACCCCTTGTACTGCCCATACCGATACCATCTGGACACCCACGGTTTCACGTTTTTATCCGGTCGTAATATCGTTCGCATTCCAATCCCCTCCACTTCTCCTCCAACACGGAAATTAAAATATTTTGGAAATATTTTTTGGGGGCTATACCAACTTAGACAAACGGTTGACTATCTTTGAATAATCGTAACTTTGTGAGAAGAACTCGTGGATTCGTCTATGCTTAATTTTCTCCAAGAGTAAAAATGTTTCTCCCGAAAGTTTAAAACATTTCTTTCGCAATTGAAACTCTTTTAATTTTTTTCTATACGTATCTAATTTTATACGGAATGATTCCCACTAATATTACTAATGAAAATTAGTAAAATTTGTATACCTGTCATTGTATCTTTTTAAACATTTTTCCAATAGAGCAGTATTGTACTCGCAACGATGACAATCGAGAAATCTCAACTACGAAGATTCGAGTCACTTCAAGGAAGATTCGAAGTTTAAAATTTTGAATCTTGAATTATAAACATTTTTTCGAATATAAAGGAACAAAGTATTATCATACATTTTTGCATTATTCCAGAAATATGTAGAAGCGGTAAAGTTATTATTTCACAAATTTTTCAAACCTATCGTGATTTTCAAGATTTTCCAGCTTCGAATTTAATTTAAAGTGATTCAAATTTCCTCTCCCTACACCCCCTCCCCCTTTTACTACAGACACGAAGCGAAATTGTTGCTATTGCTACAATTTGTACAGCTATTTAGGCTAAAATAGACGCTCATAGAACGATCGTTTTTATTGTCGATGATCTCGTGATTCACGTATTATCTTTTGAAAGAGAAGATTTTAATTGGAACATGGAAAAAAACACGAGAAAGGAATCGTCTAATTATTTTCCTCGAAACGTTGTCCTACATGTAAGTGCGTATTAACGTTTAAAAATTCCCCTACAACCTTAAACATAATTGAATGGTATTTAAGTAGGAGACTTGTGCATCACGTAGCAATTTATAGATCCTTATTTTTTTTTGACGTTGAAACTCTACGTTCGCGTCAGTAGTGCCTTGCAAGTTATTTGCCCTGTTCGCAGCACTGTCAATTATATTTAATCCCTAACCGCTCGTTGCTACCTGCAATCGTGATTTTAGGTAAGAAAATCGGAATGCTTAAGTATCGTTGAATGCATTTTGAGAAAATACATTTATCCAAAAGAAAAACATACTAACCATCGATAATATTTACTTATACACTACAAATATATTATAAATTACGGCGAAAAATTCGAAATCCAAGTAGCACAGTCTGATACAAGTGAAACATTCAAGTCTTACTCGTTATTTTGCCATACTACTCATTTTTCATTTTCATGAATCCTAATCTATTGGGAGCACATATCGGTTATTATCACAAATATTAATTACAGTGAGAAATTCGAAATTCTAGTAGTACAGTCTTATACAAGTGAAACATTCAAGTCTGACTCGTTATTTACCCATACTACTCATTTTTCATTTTCATGAATCCTAATCTATTGGGAGCACATATCGGTTATTATCACAAATGTTAATTACAGTGAGAAATTCGAAATTCTAGTAGTACAGTCTTATACAAGTGAAACATTCAAGTCTGACTCGTTATTTACCCATACTACTTATTTTTCATTTTCATGAATCCTAATCTATTGGGAGCACACATCGGTTATTATCACAAATATTAATTACAGTGAGAAATTCGAAATCCAAGTAGTACAGTCATATACAAGTGAAACATTCAAGTCTGACTCGTTATTTACCCATACTACTCATTTTTCATTTTATCTATAAGAATTGGTATCGTGGGACATTTTATCCACAAGAATTAGTATCGTGGGACATTTCTCTACCCCAAAGATATACTATTAAAAAATAAAATCAGTCTCTGCACCATTGTCTTTGTTTTATGCAGTCAGAGAATCACTAATGCACGGTATTTATTATAAATAAAAATTTGGGTGCGTTAAAGTACCCTACATTACCAGCTAAGGGTTAGTTCCAGTTGTCCAACAATTTTCCAGCAGATTCCAAACATATTATTAGTATAATATTTATGATAAACACGATTAAAAATAAAAATTTCTGTCGGGTTTGCCAAACACTCAACAGAGTGTTCCAATTGACATTGAGAAAAATGTTATGTCATCTAAATTTCATCGGATTAGTATTAAAAGTTCTAGAATAAATAAATAAATTGTTTCGTATAAAATCAAAAATAAACGGTCTGAAAATATGAAAAGTTCTAATCTGGTTTGCTAACAATTCTCGAAATTCATTTGGCGATAACAGGAATAAAAGATACAGTAACCTTAATCTAAAAAAAAATAATATGGAGCATGTTCTGGGAAAAAACTGAATTAATCAGAATCCGTGGCATAGAAATAGATAGTACGATTCTCGTGCGATTAAAGTTACTCGATCGGGAAAGTGGTAACTCTACATCCTTGTACGTATGCCTACGACCTATTACTATATTTACTACTATACTCGTCTCACGTAGAAACCGTAGTACCAGTAGATAGTACCTCGTAATGGTAATGTGAATCTCGTAATACCAGTAATTTCGTAGGCGTTGAAGAAATTGCTACAATTGAAGTACCCGTTCCATTCTTAGCTAGAGTATTGCAACAAGTAGCTAAGAAAAGCGTAAGTAGGCTTTAGTGTGATTTTATTGTACCATCTTTCGATGTATCGACGCTAACGCTTTCTTCTTATTCCTTCGATTGTATGATAATAATAGTTACAACGAAACTCTGTTATCGTATTTACAATAGAACATACTATTAGCATATATGCACTATTAGATAATTAATTCTTTCTTGCAAAAGTTGGTCCATCAGACATAGGATATTGGGGGATTATTAAATAAAGCAAACATAAATTGAAGAATTTGTAGTTGTTTCATTCCCGTTACAAGGAATGTGTAATTAGAAAGTAATTATTTGTTTCAGAAGAAGACTCTTATACATTTAGTAAATGATAAATTAATCGAAACAAATCTTCTACAAATATTTTAACCAAACGATATCTGGACCTATCGTATACACAGGGTGTTTCGTTATTTGTGGTACAACCAAGGAGGGATGTGATTCCTCGTAAAAAAATAAGTCGAAAATCTAGAATAAAATAGGCGAAAGTAGAAACAGTCTACAATGATCACTAAGAAAAAATTTTATTCCACATTTTCGACTCGTTTCACCAGGAAAAATCGTTTCCCCGGGCGGTTGTGCAACGAACAGCGAAACAGGTTGTATAAAAAATTGCATCAGAATTTGGTATTTTAACCCAAGGGAAATTCACAGTTCGATTGGCAGATGAATATACACATGCAGTAGGAAAAGCTTCGCTATCTTAACGATATTTTATAACAGTTGAAAGCTCCGTTGATTGTAACGTAAAGTAAGGCTTTGTTCGGAAAGAATAAATCCCTAGGATGACAGCCGAGTAGGTATAAAAACGGATTTCGAGCGACGGCTCCTCGGCAATCTGCGTGACGTTGCATATTCTCGTATTTAAGGACGCGGACGGGGGAAAATGGCTTTCCTTTTTTTTTGCAAGATAACGCGGGAAACGCGAAGATCACCGCGCCGGGAAAGAGTGAATTACGCGGCGCGCAGATTGGCGAGCGGGTAATCGTGAAATGCACCAGTCGCGGAGAGAAAATGTTTTCCTCTGACTCGCAGGGCAGGGTGAGCGCAAGGACAGCATCATGAATATTCCGGAAAGGTTTTCCGAACGCAGAACTGAATCGGACGAGGACGACAAGAAGGAGTAAGCAACCATTAAAAATAAAAATTTATCTCCGAAGTAAGCTATTTCCGTTCGGTATGGAATTGGCAATTTTAACCCTTTTTTTCGAGGGAATTTTTTGCAAGAAAACCGCGAGACCTTTTTGTCTGATTTTTGGAACACACGTTCGTTGCTACTTCATGTGTGTGTGTGTGTGTGTGTGTGTGATTTTTAAATTAAAAATTACGGACGCTGAGCGTGTCTGAATGTGAGTGAACATAAAAGGTGGCCTAACGGCAAGAATAGAATTTTAATTAACATGTTTGTGGCTATCGTGTGAATGATGAATAAGAAATCTGGATAGCTTTTTGGAAACAATTTCGAAAGTAAGAATTTTATTTTTTATATTTTTTTATAGCGGGGTTTGTTAATATATATTGTTAGTAATTTATACTTTGTACTTGAACTTTTAGTCAGCCAGCGAGAAACGAAAATGGTGTTGAACTGAAGTGTGGTCGAGGCCAGGTACAGCCGAAAGGATTCAAGACGATCGCTGGTAAAATATTTGGAATGTTTATCGGGAATCTCAATCGTTAACTTCGCTTTGTATACGAATATGTTGTTCACGCCGACGCAAAGTTTTCTCAGAGAGAAGAAACTGGTTACGAGATCTGTTCTGGTAAATCGCAGCTGTACGAATCTTTCATGAATTTTAGGAGCTCAAAATGGAGAGGTGAGGTTGGGATTTTGCCTAAGCAAAACAACACTCGAGGTCGATGTTGTGTCTGCCAGGAACATTTGTCCGGAGGAGAAAGAAGAGCCAGGTAACTTCTCCTTTTCTTTTGTAAATAAATCACGCACGAAATTAACAATATTTCGTAATAATAACTACTTTCTTCTTTCACGAAACCCTTTTCAAGTTCTTTGAATACGTTTACACGGTATAAAAAATATTACGATTACAGAATATTGTATAAAGAAGGTACACAATGCTATACGATTCTTTATTACGATTCAAGATGAATAACTCGAGCAAGAATTTAACAATAAGGCAGAAATTAACAATATTTCATAATAATAATTACCTTCTTCTTTCACGAAACCCTTTTCAAGTACTTTGAATACGTTTACACGGTATAAAAAATATTGCGATTGCAAAATATTCTCTAAAGAAGGTACACAATGCTATACGATTCTTTATTACGATCCAAGATGAATAACTCGAGCAAGAATTTGTGTTTGTCTTGTGGAAGGTGAACAGAGAGATTTAGGATTATAATTGCGCCGGAATCGGACGATGATTATCGCGGCGAACGTAGTCGGATTCGAGTTTTAACCGATTTTGACTGGATGTTTCGTCGTGTCGCAGATACCTACGTGAAAACGTATCTCCGAGACGGCGACAAATGGCTGCAAAAGCGTAAAACGCGCGTAATACGGCACTCGAGGAACCCGGAATACCGACAGACCATCAAATACAACAGCTGCGAAGCCCTCGGTAGAAATCTCCTCGTAATGCTGTGGGAGAAGAAGCAGGCCTTCGAGAGTAATCAGGGCTTAGGCGGAGCCGAAGTGAGCCTCGACGATCTTCCATTGAATCGGTTGACCATGGACTGGTATCCGCTGTTCCCGATTCACACACTCGGCACCCACACCGCGGACTCTCCATGATGGCTCAGGGAAAAATGGGCCCTCGAGGCCGGCGAGCTCGACCTCAGGCTGAGCCTTCTGCTCAAAAACGAGGACGAGTCCGTCGTGAAAATCATCTCCTGATGGAACCCATTTACTAACGTTCCTTCCAGCCACCTCCATTCGTTCTACTTTCCTCCATTTTGGTTCTCGTCGCTGTTGTCAGCGTGAACACTTCTACAAAGCATCGAATTATTTATCCCCGGATGCGTAAACAGACCCTGGCGCGGTGGCACAGCAGAATCTCTGTCGTTCGGAGTCTTCCAGACGACGAAAGGAAAATTACGTTTGCTTTCAAAGAAAATGTTAACAACTGGAGTTAGACGAAAACATAAACAACTGTGTACTGAAATAACTGTCTGCTCGGTATTATCGTAGAGACAAATCCCAATGTAATTCAATGTTGTTCGTGGATGGGGTCTCCTGTTTCGGTTTGATCCTTTCTAGAGGATACACACTGTTTACACAGGCTGCGTACACGTAACGCTGAATTCCTACGGTGTGTTGACGCAGATGGAACGAGGTTAGGTCCCTAAGCTCCGGAGCTTATGTCGTACGGCACTGGTGAACCTGGGTGCTCCATATTTGGTCTCTTTGACCCATTATTTGTTCTAAAGTCAAATCGGGCTAACGAAAGAAACATCTGTTGTGGAAGAGCGTGGAAAGTAACCATGAAGGGCGAAAGGAAATCTAAAACAATTTCACAAGTTTTTGACTTGTATACAGAGTAATCAAATTTCTTTGTTTCTAACACGCTTTAAATAATATTGTGGGGGTCACCGATGACCGACAGCGACGCAACCAATAGTAAAAACACACAATTGGAGTAAATATCGATACTGATAAATTTCTCAATAATACCATTGTTATTATAATGGTTTGAAGAAATTAATGCCATACAGAACATACAAAAATAATTTTATTAATACGTGAAAAATACACATATCATCTGTGCATATTGCGATGAGTTACATTGGAACACTCTAGGCATATCGTTTGGAGGGTCTTTGTATGACTGCATAATCTTCATTTGGAGTCATATTTTTAAGGGCTGATTAACAAATTGAATACTAGAGACGATGATAAATTATTATTTGAAAATTAAAAGTTCTAAGTATTTAGATTGGCTCGTTAGTTCTGTATGTTGATCTGGCTGGACTTGGTGGGTCGGAGTCGGCGCAGTAGAGTCGTTTCGAGGAGTGGGGATGGGCCTCGAGTCCCGGCTCTCGACTTTCTCTGTGCAACATGCTCCGCTAGTCGCTTTCGTGGCTTTCGACGCAGAAGTTCGTTTAGTGTCTCAGGCGTTGTATATTTTTGTTTCGATACGTCTTTGCAATTTTACTAGCGTATTTGGAACAAACACGGAACCAATATTAAAACGAAACTCTGTTTTTAGAAAATTGTATACCAGCAATTTATCATTGTAGCCTCGTTAGAATTCAAGAGCCTTATCTAGAATTATTTTCTTTAACATCTAATCACCCATATGTGACGTGGCAGTTAATGAAACGAGTCTCAGGAGAAGTGAGTTTCAGGAAACGAGTCTGAGCGGTTAATTTAGCCACCGACTTAGGATTCTGCTGTGCGTCGAACACGCGTAATTTTTAATTTATCGATCACGATGCCATGACGCGCACTTAAAGACAATCAAACACGCCGATCGATTATTTATAAATTAACAAACAGAAGCACAATGGTTTCACTGGATTCCTTTCAACCGCCTCTCGTGGATAATATTAATAAGTTCGGATGCGTCCACGAGGGTACTAGCAATAAGGGTTGTAAACCTTTTTAACTGTAAACGACATACAAAAAAACGAAGAAAGAATATAAGACGAGAGCGGCAGAAAAAGAGATTCTATTTTTTTCATGAATTATTGAAAAAGCGGAACACAAGGAGGAGAACGAAATAAACAATCGACGTCCTACGGAGACGATGTGGGTCCATTTTTCCCGTAATCTAAGGATCGACGGAGACGTACGAGAGACGATCGATATCCGACACGGGAAAAGCGTGCTCTGGTTGATCCAGCTTTTACGATTCGATCGGGTCTCGTGTCGAACCGATTTGCATTCCGCGGATAACATATGCATGATCATCGACGAGTGTGTCGTTAAATATTATCTTCGTCGGGGAGACGTGTCGAGACGAAAATTTTATGTTCCATACATTGCTTTTTCTTAAGATTGTCGGAGAATTTCGATCCGTTTGATTTTTACGCGACTTCGAGGAGAAGAATGATCGAAGATCAGAGGCGAAACGTTCGCGACACGACTCCCGCCGCGATTTAATTATTCAACGATGGACAATCGTGATCGGAGGCTCGCTGGTCGAGCCCAAAACCAAGAGCAATCGGTAACCGGAATTTACGGGCGACATAAACGCCAAACTTTGGTGTTTAGGCACGATTTTTGTAGCTCGTAGACTGACAAGATTGATTCCTTTGACACTCGCGAATTTAATAACGGATGTTCCCGAAATCACGCGATCTCCAGGGCCGCTGCGAACACTCTCGATAGCGATTTTCTTTTAATCATTCAATGAAACAATGTCGCAGCGGCCCCCGAGGCGTTCAACGCTTAGAGCGTTTCGTTTCTTCGCTACGGGGAATTGGGTGTCCCGAATGTTATCGAAACGAGGCTTTTCGTATCCTCGAACGGGCATAATGATCTTGATGGAGAATATCGTGCGTAGCGAAGGGATCGAAACGGGAATGAAAAGAGAGGTCGTACGAAAGTATTGCGCTTACCCCGCCCCGAGACGAAAGCAGAAGCTCCACTATATTGTCAGATATACATTATTCGATATATGTACACACACGGTACTTTTACGAGATAATTCTACTTAAGCGCGTATTAATGGTACATAGAAATCGACGATTTCGCTGACCAAATCCTCGCGGCAAACGGATTTAACCTTCATCGCGATGAATTTTATAAACAAAGGAACGTCAAAGTGCCGGGGGGGCGATGAAAATTCAATTTGTTTAACGAACTACGGAAACGCAGGATACACAAAAATACGTTCAAGGGTTGCAATCATTTAAGGACGAGATGTCGTCGATCGAAGAGTTCGTCTGAAATTGAATTGAAGAGCAATAAACGATTAATGGACCATTGCATCAGTTTGTCATACGATGAAGGTTAACATCTGGCGAGACTCCAGCATTGAAAATTAATTATCACCTTGGACGGTGACCATTGTCCCAGCGATAATCGCAGAACTGCTTGGAAAGGGATTAGAAATCTAAAACAAAAACAAAAACAAAAACAAAAAAGGAAAACGTATTTGCTTCGCGTTAGCTTAGGATTCTATGGCAGGATTCTGATCATATTTCGTAATTTGTTTCGACTCAATCTCTTCCCAGTTCTTCGAACTCCATTTGAGACGCAACGAGGCGCAAAACTGACGAAAATGATATTTTCGCACGAAATTAAACATGAAACGATCGTGATTATTTCTTATAATCGAGGAAAATTTTATTCGTTCTACTTTTTGTTTGTTTTTTTTTCTTTACGAAACAACGATATTTATATATTTTTCTTCCGTATTATTTGGATTTGACTTCTGTTCGCGCCAAATGAAACATCACATTTTACTATAGTATATTATTTTAACAGAAAAATAATCTGACTTGGGATATAATTTTGATTACAATTCTCCAATTCTGCTAAAAGAATTTAAATAATACTACCAATGCTCTAATTTTTTTTTTCTGAAATAATCAAGCATGGAATAGAAATCAGTTTTGGTCCTCGTTGCAATTTGCAAGCTCGAATCTCGAAGGACGGAATCGCGGGCCCATCGATGACGAGCATATAGAGCGTCTGCTCTTCGAGGTCGTCGAAAAAGATCCGAGAAGACGATAGAAGAGTGACGGTGGCTCCGAAAATGATAAACAAAGAAACGAACGCTTGAGGGAAACGCGAGCAGATGTTTGACGAGAGCAAAAATCTGATCGGCCTACAAACATATCCTAACGTCTTTTCTTTAAGAACACATCGGGAAGGAACTTTCGACGAAAGCTCCTCGAATCGGTATCGTCGATTTCCAACGCGCAAACGAGCTTCCCTCGAAAGTGTCTTCGTTTGATGTTAATCGCATGGACAATCCTCTTGAACGAATGCAATCATCTAAACCTGTAGATGAAAGGTTCTTCCTTCGTAAATGGCTAAGCTGTAGGCACGTTTTCTACTAGATTTCAAAGCGAGCTATTAATTAACACGCTGAACGCGTAACCCTCTCCCTTTCCACAAATATTTCCCCTTCGCATAAACTGGACACAACGAGCCAAAAACCTCGTTTTAAACATTTTTGTTTCAAATATTTCGATATAGTTCACTGTTACATGAATTTCAAAATATTACTTTTTAACGCTAGATTTAAAATGTCATTAGTTCATTAGTTCGAGGGTCCTTCAGAATCTTCAAAATTTTTGGTTCGTCTATAAATTAGATCCACCCTGTATACTGATGTTAAAATTTATCAAATTCAACATAAATTGCTAACAAATAATATTCACGAGCTCTGTAACCCAGACCTGGATGCATTTTGTTTGAAATGAGATAACAATCATTTGTATGATTATAGTAATCATTTGAAACGATCAAATTATTCAATATCGAATCCAAACAACGAAATATCGTTCAGCAAATTATTCGACTGTTCGAACGAACTAAAGCGTATTTATTTTAGATAAAATAATGTATTGCGTCAGCGATTATTTTTGAAATAATTTATTCGTATAATTTCCAGACTCCCAGGTTAAATTAACGTTCTCTGAATCCAGTGTTAAAATTCGACGCTGCTGGTCACCGGTGACCGTCGTCGCCTAATCGAAAAGCGTGGCGTTCAACGTGTTAATTACTATCGCCATAGCAATCCATCGGCGTTGCAATTTCTGTCCACGCCGCCGATGATTTTCCTTCCGGTTTTCCGGAACGAGACTCGAAATCTCACGTGAACTACTCATTTTCATTTTCTGCAAAACGAAATCAGCCTAACTTCGTGACTACTGTATCGCCTACACAAATACAATATACATATATACATATATATATATATATATTATATATTTATTTATATATACACATAACATAGGTATATAAATATGGAATCTATATATATACATATGAAATGCGTACATATATCGTATCGAAATTGACAATCGAGATCATTGATCCAATTATGTATGTTTAACGAATCTCTTAGCTCGTAATAAACACGGTCACGTGTGCAAAGTAATCGTAGAGGTGTATAGACATAATGTCACATGATGTAATTGTATGTGTGTGTCCACGGACAGAGTAATCGATTGCGTTCGAGAGAAAAGAATGAAATTTTGGATGCCGGACCTCGCGGATCGCTGTCTCGAAACGAGGCCGGTATTTGCTCGGGCTGCAATTCAAAGTTTCCAGACACGAGGTTTTGACGAAAGATACGAGTTTACATCCATGCAACAGCCTTTTCTCGCGCATATCTGTGTTGTTCGTACTCGTTCTACCGTCTAATTGTCAAAGACAATCTCATTCGAACACACACGCACACACGCCTTTCTCTGCGCGCAGGTTCAAATAGACTTTGACACGCACACGACTGTTTTCCATAGTTTACAAATTTAAACTCGAACAGACTCCTTCTAGCTTGTTTACGGATCTTTATCCCGTCGACTGTGTTCAAAGAAAATGGTGTTTTTAGTATTTTCTATTTCCAAAAACTGTTTTCCGATAGTTTACCAATTGAAATAGATTTTTCAATTTTATCTCCCGTGGACTGATTAACACTAAACCTACAGCGACAGGTCGAACGACCGTTTTTAAAATTTCGTTTAGAATTTCTAACACACAATATTATTTAAAATTTAAATTCACGAATTTTCTTATAGCGTACGTACAATGAATTTTACGATATTCACATCTATTCATATTTGTTTGTTTTCTGAGAAAAATATTTAGTCTATCTTACCTACCACGACCAGTCATCTGGTTGAATGATTTATATTTTTTTGTAAAAAAACTGGACAAAATTTGGTATCAAATTTTG